GTAGCTCGCTGCGCGCGAGGATCCGCGATCGTTGCAACATTCCACCTTGATTTTTCCGTAACCGGTTAGCTGTTGCGATATCTTCGAAAACCGTGCAAATTGTAAATTACCGTATTGTACCGTATACGCGCTCGTCAAAAACAGTTGACCGATAAAAATGCTTTCCCATGTTGCGATCGAAGAAATCTCGCGGCTGGGGATTCGATAGCACGGCACGCGATGTTGCAGAGAGAGAGAGAGAGAGAGAGAGAGAGAGAGAGAGAGAGAGAGGCGCGCGCGACCTCGATCGAATTTACCGGCGTTTTCCGCGACGGGATCCGCTTTCTCTCGTTACTACGGCGTCGCGGATGTATAATACTTATGCTCGATGCAGCACCAAAAAATATCTCGGCACGCGGCACGGGCTCTTATCGGAAAGGTGCAAACGCGATTCCCTTCTTCGCAGGGACCGCGCGCACGGCACGCGGCATCGACGCGCCGCTTCGCTCCTCTCTCCTCTCCTTTCCGCGCGATGCAATTATAACGCGTCGCTTTCGTAGTCGACTTTTCGTGCACGGTACGCGTCGCGGACGCCGGTCGCGAGTAAATCGGACCGGAAACGAGTTTAGCGTGCTGGAGAAACGTCGGAAACGATCGATTGTCCCGAAACACGCGCAAACGGCTGGCTCGACCAGCGAACTCGGCTAGCGCATGCGCGCCGCGTAAGCTCTTACGCACAAACTCGTCCAACCCTCTGCCCTCTTTACCGATACGATCGTACGCCGAAAAAACGTCGTCCCGTCGACGCGTTCCCCGCAACTACGATCCTCCGACGAACGCGGGTAGTACGCGGATAGAAATTTTCTACGTTGTCCCTCTCGACGAACCAATTTATTCGGAAAGATATCGAATAGCGTTCGTCCAGAAAAATATCAATGAAATACAATTTCTTTTCTCCGTCTCGTCGAGAAGCTTTCGGTTGTTCGAAGAATCGATACGATTCAAGTCGTTTCCTTGACTCGCGACTCGACCGTGCTCGCCGCAGCGATTTGCCAAGAAAGCGTAAGGGTCGGACGAGAGAGGATGAGAATTTTACTCAGAACTTTTCGTAACTCTCGTTTCAAAGTGTCGGACCCCGACGTTGCGCGTGTATCCGCGCCGTTCGAGAGGCGCGCGCTTGCCTTTTCCTTCTCTTCTCCTCTCCTCTTCTCCTCTCTTCCCTTTCCACGCCTTTGTTCCGCGATGGAATGCCAGCTATGCACTGTTCCAAGGACTCTGGATTATGCTCCAAGAAAAAATTAACGCTTCGCGACGATGTACGCGTTCGAACGTTCGGATGCCGGAAAGAACAAGATTCGAGAAACGGGAAACGTGGAATGCGAAAGATCGAAACAATTTCTCGTAAATGATCAAACTGCGCGAGAAAGAAGAAACGGGAAACGAGAAACGAGAAACGATACACCGTGTAGGGTTTACGAGTGTGCAAAGATCGTCGAACGGTTTTACCATTTCCAAACAATTTGCGTAAAGACACGATTTTCAGGCGCGAACCAAGAAAGATCGGAGAACGAACGGTTCGGAGACGTTTCTAGGTAAAACACGGCCACCGTTCGTACCGGGGCGAAATTGGTCGAGTCGACCAATTGATTCGGCCCACTCCGCGCGTTATTTATACCCATCTTGGTAATGATTAGTTCAATGGGTACTTCCTCTTTTGTTCCAGTTCTGTCGTTCTACCATTCGAACGAGCGGCAATTAGAAAAGTGTTACCGCGATTTTTCATACGGGAGTGGATTCCGCGACGAGACGTTCCGACTCGATTCGCGTACCGGCAGCTCGCCGATCGCCGATCGACCGCGCCTCGCGCTCCGCATAGAATTATGGTTGATCCATTGGTTATATCGTTACAGATTTCCTCCGCTGCCAAACGACAATGACTTCTGTAATCTCGCCGATCGACGCGCCCATAGTTGCGAACAAAAGTGGGGAATCCAGAAGCAAGTACCGGAAGCGGAGGCGGAGGCGTCAATAACACTCGGCAATCATGACCGATGAATTACATAAAGTGCAATTGTCTAGCGAGGGGCCGTCGCGTCGTCCCGCGGGATCGTGAGACGCGCGTATGCCGAATTTATTCTCGTCGGTGCGAAAAGTCGTCGAAGATCGGAGCTCCGGAGACGATTTCTTCCCGAGTTGGATCGTTGACGCGACAGCCGAACGCCGTAATCGCTACCGAGAGAATGTTGGAAATCTGTTTCGGAAGCCTCCGACGGCAGGACTGCGACGAGGGAACGCGAGTATTCGAAGCGAGCAGCTCGCCGTACGCCGTACGCCGTTCGTCGTTCGCCGTCCACCGCGGGCCGTATCGCGTTCGAAATAAATTCGGGACTCGGGGCGAGCCACCGGCGCGAACGACGCGCGATACGGCCCTTGCGAGCTCTCGCTTCGATACGAGTACGACGTACGAGTAAACTCTCTACTCTCTACTCTCTCTCTCTCTCTCTCTCTCTCTCTCTCTCTCTCTCTCTCTCTCTCTCTCTCTCTCTCTCTGTGTATACTCTCTACGAACGTTATTTGGCACTCCTTCTTGCGGGGGTTCGCGAGAGGTTATGCTCGACGGATGTGGAAGACCTCGTGTGCCGGAGAAGGGACCGGACGAAAACGAACACCGCGCTTGCTCGAATTCTTTGGAAAGTAAACATCGTGTAACACAGAAATTCCATTCCTCTCGTTCGAAACTATTCCAGCAGAGTTCACGAATCGTTCGATCGCTCCGAGTTACATCGCAGAAAAAAAACATTGCTTTCGTCCGCATTCGTTCGGGCTTCGCGAACGAAGATCGCTGTCACCGATCGCGTTGCGACCAAAAACGGCGAGGCAAAGATGTCGTCGTCGTCGTCGTCGTCTTCGTCGGACGAATATCGTTCCCCGCGCGAGTAGCTATAAATAAATCGATGAGAAAACGCGGGTAAACGTTTGACGGATCGCGACCAAGAAACACATCGACCCACGAATACGAACTCGAAGCATTTTAAAAACGAGCGAACGTACGAGAACGATCGTCCGAGGGAACGATCCATCGGCCGCGAATCGAAGTCGCTGAAAATGTCAGAAAAATAACGAGACGACGCGCCACGACGATACGATAATTTCCCCATCGGTAACGAGTACTTGTTACAGAGTGCCGAGGGTTAAAAGTAAAAATCCGATCGAGAGACGTCGCCCAGATTTTTTCATTTCAGCCGAGATATCGACCGACGCGTTCGCATTGTTTTCCAAAGCGAGCGCTGCCAGCTCGTGTATCGTTTCGAGACATCACCGTCGCCGCGCGACCGTTCGAACCGATCGACGAACCGACCCGTTCGAGTCGCGCATTCCTATCGGTTCGATCGACGAGCGAACCGTTCAAAAATACGTCGAGCTCTTCCTCGATGAATCAACGACGAGTTTCTCGCGTTATCAAAATCAATTTACAGATATTTCAAAATGTCTCGCGTCGATGAAAATAGATCACCGTGGTAAAGCACTGTGCGGGCATTGAACAAATTCGAGCGTGTTGTTACACTCGATTCGAATATATATACTATACTATACTATACTATGGTATAGCATAGAACAGCGACACTCTACGTATACTCGCACGAATCCCGTAAACCCCACGGAGAGGTCTTCCATGATTACACGCTGTTACATATACGCAGAGGCACGACACTGTGCAGCGCGACGCGACACGACATGGCACGAAGCGACACGAAGCGACGCGACACGTCCTTCCATCCCCTCGAAAAGGGGGCGCGCGCAGGATCGAGGCTTACGAGCAAGACCATTTCCCTCTGTTTAAGTTGGAAACCTTCCAATGGGCTACCGGGCTACCCTCGTTCGGTCCTCGCGCGATACACCGCTGAAACCAGTTTTAAAAGTCCGACGGAATGCGTGCTGTGCCGCCTTCGTACAGGCCTTTCACCTTTTTCGCGAGAAAATATATATTTTTCACGGTTTTCGATCGCGAGCCCCGTCGATCGACCGCTTTCGTGCTCCAGTCTTCGGTTCGATACGCGTACGCGTGTATCGTCGGATTTTACGATGAAAAACCGGGAAAAACGATCGATCGTTCTATAAAAAATCCTCGCATCGGCGGTCAAAGTACCGCGGAGGGCCGATTCGATTCGCGTAGAAACGATTTCGAAAACGATGACAAATAGGGGATAGCGTGGCAAGTTCGTCTCAACGAGTATATTTCTCGAAATATTGCCGTTGAAGACACGCCACGGGTCACCGAGCATATTTATCGATGGACGCGTCAACGTATTCGCGCATAACCGTGTACGATCGGTGTACGCTACGCTCCGAATATCGACCGTGTATTTGCGCAACAAATATCGGATGTAAAAAACCGAATATATTACGACTGTATTCGTCGCGCGAAGATCAACCGTCGATGCTATTGGAAATTGATCGCGAGCGCGCGCGCGCGATCGAAATCGAACAGCAACGATATACCGAATGCATCGGCGAGAACGTAGAAATTGCGTAGAAGCGCGTTCGAATATCTCTCGAGGTATACATACAAAGGTTGACAACGGTCGCCATTTTGAAATAATCGGCAAGGGAGATCCATCTTTCGTAGCTTTCTTTCGAACGTTCCGCACACCGAATCGAAACCGTATCGTTGGGAAACCGTCGTACAGGATCCACCGATCGCGAGACGTTCTTGAACGCGATCGATTCGATCGACTCGTAGCACGGAGACGTCGAAGAGAGACGAACGGTGTTCCCGATTGGTCGGAGGAAACGACGTGCAACGCTGCTCCGCAGTCCTGAAATCTCGGGAGCATCGTACCCGTCATCGATCATCCGTTGTTCCGAATAACGTAAACGCAAGCTTGAAAATTCGTATCGGCACAACGCGGGCGCGCGCGCGCGCGTACGGCCATCGCCTTCCACTTCGAACAGAGCTTTTCCTAAATAGCGCGCAGGGCGTAGAGAATTCTGGGAAACGATAGGAAAGACGGAGGACGTACCTCGTATTTGATGCCGTTGAGCCGCAACCACGTCTCTACCTTGAGACAATACGGCGAGACGGAGGGCAGAACCGGTGTTCGAGGGAACTGATAGAGATAAACAACGTCCTTCTCGTAGTTGGTTTTGTGCACGCTGATAGCCTTGGTCGGCGCCGGCGATGCCGCGGTAGTCGCTTGATCACCGGCCTCCTCCTTTCTCCCAGCTTCTTCTTTCTTGGCCGCGTCCTTTTCTTCTTGCTTGTTGTCCGGTGGCGTTTCGTCCTTAATTTCCTTCACATCCTTGATCTCCTTGCTCTCCGGACCGGTGTTTTCAGTCTCTGTTGCCATTGTCATGTTAACTCGGTTCGCACAGTCTTCGACCGGTACTCGTCGAAAATAACAGAACGCTCCGCTTCGCGAGCAAGCAAGCGCGATCGAGCGGGACAACGAACGACCGGAACGACCGAACGTGCGAACGTCTCGATCGTTTCGGATCTCGATCGACGACGCTGGATTCGTCCGTAGAAGGGAACGCGCACGACACGAACGTACTACGCCGGTGTACTCTCTGTCCACTCGTCCACTCGTCCACTCTCGTTCACTCGTCGATCCCTCTGCTGGCCGGCCGGTTCTCTCTCTCGTTACTGCCCCGTTCTTCGTTCCGTTTTGCCTTCTCTCCGCGACCGCGGCTCGTGTCCCCCACCCTCGGATCCAACGCAGCTCGAGAAACTCCCTGCGCATGCGTCGGCGCCACACCCCACTGCCGTCGCCATATTTAATTGGTCCGCTACCCCTGCCCGGTTCGCGCGACCTCTTCCATCTTTCCCTATTCCCTTCTCCCTTCTTCCTTTTCGACGAGCCAACTCTCCCCCCCCCCCGCCGCTCTTTCTTCCAGCGAGAACCCCCATAAACAGGGTTCTTCGCCTATGGTCAATCGGAACTCGCAAACTCGCAAACTCGCAAACTCGCAAACTCGCAAACTCGCAAACTCGCAAACTCGAAAACTCGCAACTCGCGCGAGTCGTACTCGTGATCGGTGGTATCGTCGTGGACACCACCGCCACCGCCACCGCCACCGCATCGAGAGGGCAGAACAAACTCGCAACTTTGAATCTAGGAACGAGGAACAACGACTCGATGTTCCGACGTTATTCAATGAAAATTATAAGTCTTCCTTATTAAAAAAATCGTGCAACTCTCGCGCGGCTATTTCATCGAACGTACGTTATCGGCAACTCCGACTGCTAAACTCCATTTGGAAATCTATCCGTCGCGACTCGCACTGCCCGTTCCTGCAAATTGGATCTTCCTTATTTCCTCGACTCTAGGTTGATTTCTTTATCGAAATATCGTACGAAACCGTTACCAAGACTCTCGATGGTCGCAACCAAACGGTGCAGCAAAAATTCGATAGATATCGCTTCTTCTTTTTCTTCCGGATACCTGAAAAGAACACGCGCGCGCACATACCACTCGAATACACGCACACACACACTCTCTCTCTCTCTCGATCTCGCGAGCGCGCGCTTCATTCTTCTTGCACACAAGGGAGAAAGAAAATTGTGCTAAAAGTGAATACAAATTTATTTACTCCTGATGTTACGATATTCCCCAGATGTTCATGACAAATTCATATCGTTGCGTATAGTGTGCGCCTTAACCGTTGAAAAGTCTTGTATGCGTACAACGATCAGAAATTGCTAACAAATAATTGGTCTATGCATGCTCCGTATATTCGCTAGAAAGTGGCGTCGAATCGATATCAAGAAACAATTAACAAGATATCGAAATATTCGGATCGGATGTAAACATTGTTCGAACGAAGTAACTCCTACGTGAATTTCGAATGGCTATACGTCTCTATTACGCGTTTCTCGATCGAACGAACGACCGTGTTTTAAAACGATCGTACAGTAACGGTATAGTACGAACTAATCGTCGTCTACGTACATAATATGCGATCTTTCCGGTTATATATTTTCTCGGCCCGCGTTCTCTCCATCCGACGACGAAATGGAACGAAACCTCTCTCGGATTCATCGTAAAATACCCGATAAGCGATCGATGCCCGTGACCGAATCAACGGACACGGTCCCGCGTCGTCGCTTCGCGAGGCCCGGAGAACGATTCTCCCCGTCTTCGATAGGTCTTTAGCGGTCGTTTCTTAAAAAAGAAAATCCGTGGACAGGAACGAAGAATCCAACGCGATACACATTTATATATTTATCGCATGCCATGACAAGTTTTCTCGTCGCGGGGAAGAATTTTCGACTGGAAACGGCTAATGGTCAGCGATGAGATCAGCGACGAGATCAGCGTACACCAACGTCGATTAAGCTTAATCGTTATCGCGAGATCGTAGCAGAGGTTGGCCAACAAATTCTCAAGAAACTTTCAACCACGGTTTATTCCAGAATAAGTTACTCGCCGTTCCATCGAAGACACTATCCGCAACGGTGCAGTTTTCGAACGATTCGATCGAACGTGGTCGAGGTCGAATCGCTTCCAACGTATAACCGCCCGGCCAACGGGTATACTACGCGTGTACGTACGCGTACGCGCGAAATTAGTCGAACATAGACAAAAGTTCCTCCTCCATCGATCGCAAAACTATATCGATCGGTCGACGATCGAATACGATGATGGAACGCGTTAAACGGTTTTATCGCGAACCGTAAAAGCCACAAAAGGGAAGGTAATCACGCTTCGTCCAGCCGGAAGCGTCGAAACGATGACAGCCGCTATCGATATTCGTTGTACCTAATTAGAATTAGAATTAGAATTAGAATCGGAATTAGAATTAAAAAGTGAACGAACGCGCGCGTTCGATCGATGCCGAAACATCCGAAAAGATTCGACGTTGCGCGTATATCGAATCGTTGCACCCGATATTTACGGGTTTTCCGTAAATTTACAGTCCCGAAGATACCTTACGTACGCAACAGTTTACTCTTTATCCTAGATATCGGTATCCATGGTCGCCTTGGGTGAAATCTGTCGCTTCTCGCGCAGCAACCCGACCAGCTTCCTTCCGTGGTTGGAAATATTTATCGGATCGAGCCAGCTTTATCGTTGGAACGGTAAAAATTGTATAAAATCTTTCAAGATCTCTTCGATGTTACGCCAACAACCCGAGGAAAGTACGTGTTCGAACGTTCGAGCGAAACGCGCCAACGATTCGCTGCCTCGACGTAGCTATTTTATAACGCGAACACATTTTCGAATTGCAGGGGTTCGTACTTTCCCGACGACGACGAACGCGATGGAACGAAGACAAAGATGAAAACTCGCGATCGACGATCGTGCGTGCGCGCTCGCTTTCGTCGTATTTCGTTTAAAAACTGGATCCGTCGGATCGCGCGACACGAAACGCTGGAAAACGTTGATCGTACTTGCTCGACGATCAATCAAAAGAAACACGTTTTCGTTATGATTTTTATGTGCACGCCAACAACGCGTGTTACACCTGGAACGATGTATAATTACAGTCGACAATAAATACACATGTACAAATTGAAAATACTTTACACTTAAATACTGTTTCCTCGAATACTCTAAAGCGAGAAGACGCTAACTTACTTTCTACGGATTGTACAATTCGTTTTCGCCGTAACGCCGTAACGCGTAGAAAGTATTCGTCGATAAAATAAACCTATTTGCAATTAGGTACAGTTTACCGTACGACGATACGTTTCCATCGAATTCGGAAAGTTACGTTCAAATTTAGTATTCAGCGAATATGATATTCGATGAAAATAATAAAATGCTTCGATTGCACCGAGACGAAAATCGATCGAACGAAAGACGATTGGACGACGTGCCCAAAACACGCCCAAAAAGGTTAGCCGAAATCATTTCCAGCGTAGACGGAAAAGGAAGAAGATCCCTTTTCTATTGTTATCGACGGTCATCGACCGTTATCGAACGTTATCGACTTATCGATCGTTATCGATCGTTATCGATCGTTATCGATCGTTATCGAGTGCTGCGGTACAAAGCCCTGCTCCATCGGAAAGACAAATACACATGTGCGGCCAATGCGGTTGCTAATGTTAACGAGTCGCGTATTCGATGCGCGTAGCGTACGAACGGTTCGAACACGATGGATTCGAACATTCTGTGCGAGCATGTGTGTACGCGAATCGTTGAGACCGGGATCGCGCGAGCCTTGAATTCGCGCAATGTTGCGGCGTTGCGTTTGCATACAGCGTTTGCATAACCACGTCGTGGATGTAGCGCGACGCAACGTTGACGTTGACGTTGACTTCGACTTCGACTTCGGCTTCGACCGACAATCGCCAACCACGACGCGCATAGAACAATCGCGCGTGGCGAGAAACTCGCGACGCGCAACGTTGCAAAAATTCGATGCTCGCGCGATCGCGGTCTAAAAGTTCGTGTAAGCTGTAAATCAAACGAACGAGAAAAGAAACAAACGAACCAAAGAGACGAACGAAATAGAAGAAAGCAATGATCGTGATCTGCGCGACTACTTACATACGTTGGAAGTAATTATCGCATCCGAGGAAGTCGCTATACGGAACGAACTATCCGGGTATGAACTTTTTACAAGTACTCCCGATTATCTCGTTTCGTTTCGGTTTCAACGATCTGCAATTAGTAAATTCATTTAAAAAACGTTGTTTTACCCCTACCGCTCAGAATCGCTAGACCCGATTAAGAATTCAAAAATTAGAAATAATTACAAATCGATCGTCGCAACGATACCAATTTCACTCTCGTTCGGTCTACTTTTAACCTTTTACATGTCCAAACGGCAACAGGACCTTTATAGTTTCAATCGAAGACTTTCGCTACGAAATTTCATGAAAGCGAAGTTTCTGACGACGCAACTTTGTCGAGATCAGTTTTTTAGATTAAAATTTCTTTAAAGATTATTCGACGTTCGCTCTTCGAAGCTTTCGAAGCTTTTTAATACCTCGAATATTTAAATGGAAGAACGACGCGATAGAAAATCAACAATTTTGTAAAAGGTTAATGCTTAATTTTTTGCCAATAGTGGAAAACCATCGAGCAATTGAAATTTTATTCGCGCGCAAGTTTGTCGACGCGAACCATCGAAAGCAACACTCCCACTTTCGCTG